TCGTGGTAAACAACCTGCTTCCCTATTTATAATGGTTTGGCCCTCTAGCAACTTCAGCGCAAAATTATAGCTAATTTGCCTACAAACGTCAGGTGGTCATAATAATCTAGCTACTCAGTGTATACATCCAATGAAATATTATTCAACCATAAAAAAGAATGAAATAAAGAAACATGTTACAGCATGGATGAACCTTGAAAACAATATGCAAGTAAAAGAAGCCAGACACTAAAGGTCATATATTATATAATTCTATTTACATGAAATATTTAAAACAGATAAATCCAAAGAGACAGAATACAGATTGGTGATTGCCAGGGACAGAGAGAAAAGGAAAGGAGGACTTTGAAGTCATGGAAATGTTTTGAAACTAGTTATAAATAGATAGATAAAGGTAGTGGTTGTGTAACACTATGAATGTACTAAATGCCACTTATTCGCTTTAAAATAGTTAATTTCATGTCATATGAATTTTACCTCAAAGTATACACCTATATGCATATATACAATATATGAAGTTTCATACATAAGCAACATGGTAATAATGATGGTGGTTGTGATACAATTGTAATGATATGTGCTTTTGAAAAACTAAGAAGGGCAGAGCATCTGCCTTTAACATTTAAGGAATATGCACAATACCTGCAAAGGTTAAATATATTCATATGCACACAAAAGACATCCCTCTGGCCCTAACTGGTTTGACTCAGTGGGTAGAGCGTCGGCCTGTGGACTGAAAGGTCGCAGGTTCGATTCCGGTCAAGGGCATGTACCTTGGTTGCGGGCACATCCCCAGTAGGGGATGTGCAGGAAGCAAATGATCAATGTGTCTCTCTCATCGATGTTTCTAACTCTCTATCCCTCTCTCTTTCTCTCTGTGAAAAAATCAATAAAATATATTTTTTAAAAAAGATATCCCTCTGTAAAAATATAGTCACATCATAAAAGGAAAAACAGATTCTCATTTGACTGGCAAATCTTGTTTGAATGACAAAGCTTAAAAATGATTGATTTCAGTAAACCTTTGAAATTACCATTACTGACATTTGGCTTTGACACTTGTATTAAGATATGAAACTCTCTCCCTAGCTGGTTTGGGTCAGTGGACAGAGCATCAGCCTATGGACTGAAGGGTCCCGGGTTTGATATCGGTAAAGGGCACATGCCTAGATTGTGGGCTTGATCCCCAATAGGGGGGCATACAGGAAGCAGCTGATCAATGATTTTCTCTTATCATTGATGTTTCTATCTCTCTTTCCCTCTCCCTTCCTCTCTAAAAATCAATAAAATTAAAAAAGAGCCCAAGCCATTTTGGCTCAGTGGATAGAGCGTCGGCCTGCGGACTGAAGGGTTCCTGGTTCGATTCCAGTCAATAAAACTTACCAAGAAAATGAAAATATGGCCTCATCTACAAAGCCCAGAAACTGCTGTTGTTGGCAGGGAGGAAGACCCTGTCACCAACTTAGAAAAGAACAACCCCTAATGGGTAACTAACTGCTTCTCAATGGCCAGAGTTAAGCCATATGTCACAAGGATCATAGGACATTAAAGGCCAAAAATCATGCCTTTATGCACTCAGCAACTGGCATCTTCTGTGTGTCATTTACTGTGCCAGAGTACACCAAAAAAGATTAACTCGGGCCCTAAACTTCAAAAATACACAGTTCACATTCAAGCCTGTGAAGCTAATGGGATTCTGATATATAACTGATAGAATTAAAACTGGTATAACCAATTTAGAAAATAATGTGGCAAAATATAATAAAGCTAAACATATACATACCATCTAACTTATAAATTCAATTCAAGGTACATATATCTTCCAAAAAAAACTTGTACATAAATGTTCATAACAGCATTATTCATTACAAGCTCAGACTATAAATGATCCAAATATCCATCAACACAACAGCCTGGGTAAATAAACTGTGGCCTACTCACACAATGGAATACTGTACTGCAGTAGTTCTCGGCAGGGGTGATTTTGCCCCCCCAGGGGACATTTGTCAACGTCTGGATATGATTAGGTTGTAACAACTGGAGGGGGGGGGGGTGCTACTGGCATCTAGTGGATAAAGGTCAGGATTCTGATAAACATCCTTCAATGCACAGGAGAGCCACCCATAACAAAGAATTATCCCATCAAAAATGTCAAAGGGCCAAGTTTGAGAAATCCTGGCTTACAGCAATGAGAATAAACTAGACCACAGAGATTATATGGATATATTAAAACATAACGTTGAGCAAAAAAAGAAGACAAAGAAGAATGCATATCTATAATTCCACTTAAATAAAGCTTGAAATCAGGCAAAATCAATCCCTGGTGTTAAAAGTCAGGATAGTGGGGATCAAGAGGGGCACAAGCAAAGTTCTGTTTCTTGAGCTGAGTACTAATTATTTGGCACTGTGTGTAAATTTGTTGAACTGAATAATTAAAAATGTGTGTATATTTTTAAGTATATTATTCTTCCATAAATAGCTTATTTTAAAAAAACTTATATGCATTTCAAAGACAGACAATCTGTCCTAGCTGGTTTGTCTCAGTGGATAGAGTGTCGGCCTATGGACTGAAGGGTCCCTGGTTCAATTCCAGTCAAGGACACATGCCTGGGTTCTGGGCTCGATCTCCAGTAGGGGGCGGACAGAAGGCAGCTGTTCAATGATTCTCTCTCATCATTGATGTTTCTATCCCTCTCCCCCTTCTCCCTTCATCTCTCAGAAATTAATAAAAACGTATTTTTTTTTAAAAAGAGGCAAACCAGAGACCAGAGAAAATTAACAATACATATTATCTAACAAAAAACTTTTTTCCAAAATATATGAAAAGCCCTGGCCAGTGTGGTTCAATTGATCAGAGCATCATCCTGTACACCAAAAGGTATGGCAGGTTCGATTCCCAGTCAGGGTACATGCCCAGGTTGTGGGTTTGATCCCCATTCTGGGCACCTGCAGGAGGCAACTAATTGATGTCTCTCTCTCTCTCTCTTCCTGCCCCCCTCCCTCTGCCTCTCCCTCCCTATCTCCCTTCCTCTCTCTAAAATAAATTATATATATATTAGAGGCCCGGTGCACAAAAATTTGTGCACTGGGGGGGGGGGGGAGGGGGAGAGTCCCTCAGCCAAGCCTGCCCCCTCCCCAATTTGGGACCCCTCAGGGGAT